TTGCTTGTGCACTTGCTGAAATGATGTTCCTCAGAGCAGACCAGACATCGAATCTTGCATGTGCATCCTTTTGCTGAGTGTCCAAATCTTTGACAGTGATAGCACTGTAATGGAGGAAATTCATAAGCACGAATTGAGTAGGACAAGTAGCCAATTTTCATTCTTGTTGGCAATTCATGGCCCTCAAAAACAACTCGAACAGAGGTTGATGGTACTCTGTTCCCATCTACTGACTTGCAAAGCCTCTCCATCTTCACAAACTTGCTTGAGCTGCATGTATCCACTCTTCTTGCTAAGGTGCTGATGTCAGATTGGATGTCAATGGGGCCTATAACTCCATAGCAAAATCTGCCCCGATTAGGCTGGGTGCATGTAACAGGCCAAGCACCCAGCTGAGTCATCTGCAAAAGTGAATTGATAGCTGCCTCACAATATTCGGCAAGTTCCACTGCAACTAATCCTTTGCGTCGATTTACACGTACATCCTTAATGTGTATGGTATTGAATGGTGGTGCTTCCAAGGCTATGCATAGCTGTTCTGGTGAAATCAGCATCCTCTTGGCATCCTCACTTGCAGGCCTAATCAATACCACTCTTGAATTATCATGATCTGCTGCATTTCTGCTTTCCTGTATGTAAGTAGTAGGTGTTCTCTGGTTTTCAGAACCTTCAACAGCTTCCGCAGATTGCACTGAACATTTGGGCAGATTGGGCGCTAATGCAAACCATTTCCATCTGCCATAATTTCCTTACCAGACTGCATGGAACCTTTATGCTTCTTCCCAGTAGTGTTCTGTGCTGCATTTCCATTCAATGATAGAGTCAAATCATTGTTCAAAAGTTCCACCTCACAGAAATGCTGGATCTGGGAATTTGGGAAATGGGAATCAGTGGGCTGTGGGCATGTGCTTTTCCTAAAGGCTGAAGCTGTATGTCCAGCACACCTGGGTCTATAAGATCGGCTGACTCGGGATTTCCAGGCTCCAGCCATATAGCTTGACTGGAGTTATCGTCACACTGAGATTGCAAGGCAATGGAACACGTCTTACCTTGATCACAGTTCAAACGAGACTCGATCGAGGGCTGGTTCGACGCACGGGGGAGCGCAGCCGTGGGTAACAAATTTGGCATTTTGGCTCGTAAACAGGCCCTGGGCCCAACGCCAAACATCAGCATGCAATATTTACACATAGCCTCAGATCAATGAGCTGTGGGTAACTCCGACTAACAGTTAACCTGCTTTGCACAACACAGCTACTGCTCCACAGAGCCGGAGCCCAACTGGCCGGAGCACAACAGGCCCTACCGGCCTTGCTTGAACCTAACCCCAGGAAACTCTGTTTTTCACAGAACATATGGAAAGTGAGTGCTACCGCAACAGGCCCTACCGGGAGCGCAGCCGTGCACCANTCTGCATGTTTGAGGCTGGAGTTCGCCTTTCCAACACTCAGTAATCGTGTTGGAAAGGCGATACCATATTACCTTCAAATTAAAAATGAAAATAAATTTCCCCATTGCGGTTCTGACACCATGCAAAACCCTTATATTATGGTTTCAGAACCATGGAAAACACTTGTATTATGGTTCTAAAACCATGAAAATCCCATATATTATGGTTTTAAAACTTTGAAAGCCCCTTATATTCTGGTTAAAAACCATAAGAAAACCCTTATATTAGGGTTTAAAAATCATGAATAACCCTTGTCTTTTGGTTCTAAAACCATGCTAAACCCTTATAATATGGTTTCAAAACCATGAAAAACACTTGTAATATGGTTTTAAAACCATGAAAATCCCACATATTATGGTTTTAAAACCAAGAAAAGCCCTTATATTATTGTTTTAAAACCACGAAAAGCCCTTATATTATGTTTTGAAAACCATGGAAAATCCTCTTATTATGGTTTAAAAACCATTAAAACCCCTATGTATAACACGTACAATAAGTTTCATATTTTTGGCGAGTCGTTCAACAAATTTATGGGCAGGCTCCTCCAGGCGTCCGCTTCACCACGATCTAAAACTGCATCGACGGCGTTACCATGTCTGCTGTGAGAGCCATTAATATGAGTCAGCCTCGAAATCTTGAAATTAATTTTTTTTGTTCTCATTATCATCTAAACGTGTGATGAGTTTAACATTAAGCTAACAGTTATGTAGAGATCGGTTACGACTTGAGGTGGCTGAGCCAGAGAGAAATGTCGACTATTGGTCATGCCAAGGTCAGCTGTGTAGGGGGTTAAAATTTTGAGACAACGCGTTTATTAGTGCAGTATAAATTAACAATATGTATTTACAAGGCGCAATACTAATGAATATTCGTGTACATTATTAAATTGAGTTTTGTTCGAATGACGACGCCGTTTCAGACTAATATTTTACATTACCACAAAACTATAATTCGAACTAGTAGTTTTCTTTCTATCTCAATTAATCGGCTCGAAACTTTTAGGTCGGTAATTCACTTAAGATAATTGAACATTTTTTAAATAAGTTAAACGGGATTTAATTTGAAGCATTTTGTGGGCTGCATGAACTATTGCTGAGTGACCAAACATTATGTTAAAAGCGAACGAGATACATTACAAATTTAATGGGATATTCAACCAAATGTGGAGGGACTTTAACTTTCAACCGTGTAATTGCATGTAGAAGATAACCTTCCTATTACTGCCTAATCTTCAAGAAGCCAACTTCCCGATTTTACGTCTACCTTCCAGACTCACTCAGCCTAGGAACCAAGCTGCACCCCGCGTCCGTCGTGTCAGACNAATTTCGATGTATGAAAATCTGTTTCAAAACTCGTTTTCAGGCGGTAATAACTCAAATGGATATAGCGGTAGTGGAGTTTCGAGGAAATCAGCATCTCAGGGTGCATGCAAAGAAGTGACATCGATGGCTTTTTCCGCCTCAATTAAGTTAAATTGCGTTTTGTAATCATTTCAAAATGGGTTTCCATCACCAAGAGAGTGGTAGAGTGGAGAAAATTTTTTTGGTTGGGAATCGAAATTTCGAAAAAAATTATATGGTATCAAAATGATCCCCGAAGTGCATAGAGTTCAATGGTATGATCGCCATTTTTGACAATTTTTGTAAAAAAATGACTAAAATATTTTCGATGTGTGAAAATTCGTCTCAAAACTCGTTTTCTGGCGTTAATAACTCAAAGAGATATAGCGGTAGCGGCCTTTCATGCAATTCAGCATGCCATTGTGCATGCAAAGAAGTGATATCGATGGTTTTTTTCTCCTCAATTAAGTTAAATTGCGTTTTGTATTCACTTCAAAATGGGTTTCCATCATCAAGAGAGAGGTTGAGAATGAAGTGTCAACTTAACCAATATTTGACGAAAAATAACGAACGAAATAGAAGGCCCCGAGCAGTGGACTCGGGGCCCGTAGAACGGAATCATAATTCACTACTTATTGTTATTCGTGTGAATTTTCCAAAATCACAGTTTTATCCGAGTTATAATCCTTTGAAAAAGCCAAAAAACCGATAGAAGGAGGTGGGTGAGTCAATTTCACGAAGCAATTTTGGTGTTTAATGAAAACTTTTTCCTATGGGACTTTTTCAAATTTTTTTTTCACTGAATTAATGCCAAGAATCTGAAGCAGGTAAAGAGGTAATTTTCCCAAATTTACGAATAAATTTAAAAGTGATGACGTCATGAGAAGTACAGTCTGGGTGAAAATTTGGTGAAAATTGGTCGATTCTCATCATCTCTGAAACGTCACTTGCGACGTCACCGAACCTGCCGAGGCCATGACGGACATTACCCCATAACTTCCCTCGGTACACCAGAGTACCTCCCATCGGTACGGCACGACCGCATGAAGTTCCTCATCCGAGCAGCCCACACGATGAACTTCCGTCGCCAATGGATATCTTCGCCTATCGGAAACTTCGCCAATGGATACCTTCGCGTATTGGAAACTTCAATTTATACCTTAAAACTTTGCCAGTGGCTTATATCAACACCACGGTCTGCATCCATGCCTATATTCTTTATATACCAACTAGGTTAAGATCTATCGTCAGAGTGATGCAACGTTTCGTTCTCCATAGCCTTCAGGACGATTCCTTCTCTAAGAACCCCAGTTCGTTCATTTACTCTATCCACCCTTACGATAATTATTCGATAATTACGATAATAGTAGGATTCTGGTAGGATCGTGGACGATATTCTATTGTAAACCCCCCGGGGAAAAAGGTGTAAGGATGAAAATTATCAACGTTCATTCCGCATTCAAATGATTTCTTCCTGGTTAGAAAATAGTTCCTCCATCCCGATGTTTATAAACATATCCATATATTAAACTTCCTTCTTTTACCCGGTAGAGACTCATCACCTTGATGACATGTATTTAAGATTGTGTAATCCCGGAAGACGTCAGTATGAAACTAAGACGAACGCGTTAATGTTCAGCTCCCAAAGCTCGCTGAAAATCTATAATCTGTACGCCGATAATTTCTCACTAAGTATAAGTATCTGATCTGTACTTAACTCGTGCTTCATTTATCCTCATTTAAGTCAAGGCACCAGAACCTGCCTCAGGTAGTTAATAACTAATTAAATGCGCCCAAGACGTGCATAGAAAAGCACCTCGTACGTACAAACACAACATCGTACACGAAATCTTACCCCTGATGTTAAAATCGTTTAAATGTACCGCGATTCAAAGCAGCATTCGTGACATTACCATCTGGAACTATTAAGTTATATTTTAACTAACTTTCAGAGGGGAAAATTTAACACATCTCTTTATTTGAAATAAGTAAAGGTTCACACGACTTTATAAGCAGAAAATAAGTGCAGAACACAGCAGAACACAAAAATATTTATTAATAATTATTTTTTGCAGAAGAGATTAATTCACAATTATTTGCAAACATTTTCTGTTACTTACGCATAATTCCAAATACACTTCAGTACACTTCAAAGAATGTCTGCTTCTTATTACAGCGAGCCTGAACCCATGAAAAGTAGTATTCCGTACAAAAACCGTATGAAAATTTATTTTTCAAAGCTTGCCTTCAACTGAAATTTAACACGAAAAAACGTTAATTAAGGTTTTAACTAAGCTCATGCTGGATCACATGTTTTGGTTAGACGATTACAAAAATAAATTATATATCATTAAACAAAAATTCCTCTTAAATTAACATTTGCAATGCTCGTAACTATGCTAAACAAATAAATAAAATCGGTTCTCTGTCGCATACAAAATTATACATGGAAATTAACAAATAAAGGCATAACATTATGCGCGGCCAAAGAGATATAAAGCCAAATAAGTAACTTATCATAAATATGCTTGTTCAGGAGTTCTCGACACTAGATAACTATGAAATGGCTCAACACTTGCATTGAATGCAAAATATACAGATAAGTTTATGAAGCAAAGAATGACACTTCCTTTAGGCGATCCGAAATTCGCTACTAACAAATGATTACCCCTAACGAGCGCGAAATCTTCCCCCTGATACCAAAATCGTTTAGGAGTACCGCGATTCAAAACAGGAGTAACGCGATATTCCATACTAAGAACCGTATAAAAACTTAATTTTCAAACCTAGCCTTCAACTGACATTTAACACGACAAAACCTTAATTAAGGTTTTAACTAAGCTCATGCTGGATCAAGGCTCGTAACTGTGCCAAATGAATAAATAAAATCGGTTCTCTGTCACACAACAAATCAAATAAAGGCATAACATCATCCGCGGCCAAAGAGCAAATGAAGTAAAATAATTAACTTATAAAAAATGTATCTTCAGGAGTTCTCGACACTAGAAAACTATATAATGGCTCATATAAACATTCCAGTTCTAGCTCATTGTATTCCGCGAACGTTTGGATGGGCGACTGCCACTAGGCACCTCTTCGTCCTCGTCTTCCCCCTCCTGTATTGATGCTGGAGAAGGGGACCGATGGGGATTTCTAGCGCAGTCTTCCTGTTCCACGTTGTCCTCGCCGCCCATAAAATCATTCACGCGACGAACGGCGTGGGCGGGGGCTGCTATGTGCGGTGCTACAGGATTATTTTGCACCTCTCTGTACAACGCAACATTCAAGAAGCGTCTGGGTTGAATCCTCGACAAATGCAACTTGCATGAATTCGATGGGCTGCCGTCCGGAAGGTATCGTCGCTTGTACCATCCACTTATGAGAAACCGCACTCCCTCGCCCATGTAGAGTTGTAAAATTCGGTCAATTGCCTCCCGCAAGCGGATGGAGTTGATGCGAGCAAGCTGAAAAAATATATACCAGTCAATTTCGGCATCGATGTGCATTTCTACGATTAAATACAACGCGTAAATGAACGTAATTGAAGACGTGCAAGGGAAATAATTATTTGAAGAAACATTCATGCAACATTATGAAATTAATACCTGGAGAGAGTCAGGATGAATGAATAGGTTGGCGAGGCTCTGGCTCGTGTAGGATATGAATTTTTGTCCACAGTTTGCTGCCTCCAGTTCAGCAATGTAGACCTTCGCTTTGATGCAAGTGTTGCTTGTTCTTCCTCCAACCTGTGCAGGGCATGGATCGTCCGGAATGTGACAGCTGTCACATGTTCTTGATGGACAGGCACGGTGAGTTACCACTTTCTTCAGCACTATTTTTTCCACTTCAAGGAAAAAGCCCTGAATATGAGTCGATTCCTCCAGTGCAGGAACAAGATCTTGTATACGCTGATACTGAGCTGACGGCAAAATAGGGATAGGATTGGTCGAACATTCAACAATTTTTACGCCGTGTATTTCATCACCCAGACACGGCTCGTAAAAACAAAGATAAGAGCCTATATAAATGTCGTGTATTGCCCAGAGGGCACTATTGGTTTGCGACTGTTTTCGGCATACCACATAGAAGAGGTCACCACTGACAAGCTCCCTGAAAAATAAAAATACTCTTATAAAACACTAAACGCTCAAGATATGAACGATAAAATCCATTCAAACAAATCAACAAAAATTTTTACAAAAATGTCTACAATGTCTACATAAATGTAATAATAAACGTTAAGAGAAATAGAAATTCAATTAAAAAATCAAATTAATTATAATAAATGGAAAATGCCATAATTACCGAAAGAGTAGCAGTCGATCGTATGAAATGGCATTGCTGCCTTTCGTCAACAGTTTTCGTGATGATTCTTTTGGTCTCTTGATCGACAGCAACTGTCCATAGGTGACGACGTTATCGTCTTCGTCCGCCAGGTTCTCAATCGTCCGGTAGCCGACGGCATCGCTTTGGACGTAAGCCACGGCCTCGGCCAATTTTTTCTGATCTAGAAGGTCTTGTACATAAGACGGCATCTGGCAAGCATAAGAGAACATGTTAAAATCGAATTACGATTTAAATTAAAATAAAATAATTTAACTTACTCAATGATCAAATAGAAAATATTTACATCAAAATAAACTATTGTCATGAAGTCGCAATACTACCAATTGTTACGACTGTTTGTCGAGCAACTGCTGAAATTTTGAATACTTTAACTCGAGCCTGACACTCACTGTTAATGGCCGAGAGTGTCGAACTCTTTCTTCGAAGGGATTGAGTACTGACAGGAAAAATATAGATGACTAAATCGGGAAAGATTTTGAGATTCTAAATAAAATATTAGTTAGTACTAGGTTCAAATTAAAGAGTCGTTGAAGCACAGAATTTTCTTTCATTCAGAATGCCTCGTAGAAAAGATAGTTTTAGAAGCACATAACTTCGTAGTTCACGATTTACTTAAAAAATCCAACACGCAAACATATCCGGACTGTTAGATCACAAGTCCGTAGGTCTAATAGTGAATTATTAAGGCAACTAATCTTCGATTAATTATTTGGTCGGTTAGTAAATTATTGTCAGTTTTATAATTAGCATTATTATTGCTCAATTATAACTTAAAATAACTCATGAATTAAAATCTATAACAATGGGTATCAATTTCATTTTTCAATACTTCCACAATATGCACGACGTAAACATTATGCAAACTTGCTCTATGTTATAAATTCGGTACTGTGGGAGCATTAAATTTCCCAAACTAAGGAGCAAAAAGCTCACAAAGTCCCGTGCAGTAGGTCATTTTCAAGATTTTTCAAACTTCATGAATAAAAAAGAAGTTGATAAACGAATTTATTAGGATTATTCTACAAATACACTGCGAGGGTGAAACCAGACAATAAATCGAGATTCTTACTCTAGCCAAAATTACAGCAACAGAAAAAATAGTAACTAGTCAATTAATGATTTACTTATGATGTAAAGTATATAACAAATCGCGACAAAATAATAGCCGAACACTGAGCGTTTACTGAACATAAATCGAGAAATCATCTAAATAGCTAACTATACATTATATGACATCTAAGAGTGAACAAAGAACGGAAATAAATTTTAATGAATCTCGCAAGGTGCATATCAATTCCATGCTGACAATGTTTTACAGTATGTAATTTCTAAATATTAAGTATTAAGTCTACATATTACATAAAATTATTCTACAAATACACTGCCAGAGTGAAACCAGAGACAATAAATCGACATTCTTACTCTAGCCAAAATGACAGCAACAGAAAAAATAGTAACTAGTCAATTAATGATTTACTTAGGATGTAAAGTATATAAAAAATCGCGACAAAATAATAGCCGAACACTGAGCGTTTATTTAACATAAATCGAGAAATCATCTGAATAGCTAACTTTACATTGCATAACATCTAATAGTGTACAAAGAGAGGGCAAACTATAAAAATCGATACGAGTAAAATTTATAAAAAATACTCGTCTAACACTAGACGTTTATTTACAAGAACCTACATTGAAAAACAAAGTGAATATCTACTTTACATCACTTTTAAGAGTGAACAAGAATGCGGAATAAATATACATAAATCCCAGATGTGCATGCTAATTCACTGCTGGCATATTTTTACAGTAATTTCTATAATATTGATATTTCTCAAATTTAAATTAAGAAAGTTCATCTCTATTGAGAGGGCGCAGCACGCAGCACTGCCTGAAAATTAAATCGGCTCTATTTGCTTGGCCGTAAAGTTGAAAAGCACGCTTTCCGCAAGTCATTGCAGTTTGATATTAAATGTACATATTACATAAATAGACAATATTAATAATGCGAGATTGATATTTACGGTTTATTTACTCAAACGAAAGAAATTAGGAACAAGTCAATAAATGATAGGATTTAGATGCAAACTATAAAAATCGATACGAGTAAAATTTAGAAAAAATACTCGTCTAACACTAGACGTTTATTTACAAGAACCTACATTGAAAAACAAAGTGAATATCTACTTTACACCACTTTTAAGAGTGAACAAGAATGCGGAATATATATACATAAATCCCAGATGTGCATGCTAATTCACTGCTGGCATATTTTTACAGTAATTTCTATAATATTGATATTTCTGAAATTTAAATTAAGAAAGTTCATCTCTATTGAGAGGGCGCAGCACGCAGCACTGCCTGAAAATTAAATCGGCTCTATTTGCTTGGCCGTAAAGTTGAAAAGCACGCTTTCCGCAAGTCATTGCAGTTTGATATTAAATGTACATATTACATAAATAGACAATATTAATAATGCGAGATTGATATTTACGGTTTATTNAGAGCGCGCAACAAAATCAGCACGAAGCGGCTCAAATTCTAGTTCATAGTCGGCGGTGTTGGCTCTATGACAGTTGCTGCATTGCAGTACTAGAGGCGCGACCTCAACAACTTCAGGAAGTTCATCGTTTGAAGCTACAGGTCTCACGTCTAAAACGGCTGGCAATTCAATCTTTCGCTTCTTTGTTCTAGGGCCTTGTGTGTCACCTATGCGAGCGTTGTGTCCTGGAACAGCGCATCTACTACGTGTTTGAACACGAGCCGGTACTGCGGCCTGATCATTTATCTCGTTAATCGGCAAAAGTGGGAACGAGGCTGGGGATTGCGACACAGATACAACTGCGATACTTTCTAATTCACGAGATTCAATATCGAGAACATTGGGTGTGCAAGTCGGATTCACTGCAGCTAACTGATCGGATATCTGGATGGGAAGTTCAAAGCCACGAGCAAGTAATGAAGGATCCGGTTCCGGTTCATTGCAGTCGGCAAGTGTATGCCCTAACAGATTACAGCGCGCACAACGTAAATACGATCGTCGTCGCTTTTTAGCCATTTTAAGAAAATAAAAAGCTGATATTTATAAAAGCGTAGAAAAACACGCCTAACAATCGATAGTCTGAAATATTTTCAATTTGTGAAAATAAGATAAATGAAATTGCGGCGTTTAGTCTCGTACATATTGGATGCGCGCGAACTAATGTTCAAACAAAAAATTAAGATAGAAAATGAAATAACATGAAATTTTGTAATTTAGCCCTAATAAGGGAAGACAATCCAGCACGCATTATGTGAACGAACGCGATATGCCGATTAGAACATTCTGCTCTAGTTATCATAGTTAAGTCAGGTAGTTAACAATAAATAAATACATAAGCGCGCATCGAGATTAAATGATTTTAAATTAAGCCTAGAATTCTAGCATTGTTTAGCTTGAATATTAAGAATTAGTACAATAATTAAGAGCGAAAACTATTTAAATAAAACCTATGGGAAATATGGGGTCAAAATCTTAGCTAAATAGCATGATGCACAAAAACTTGTGTCAACTATGGCGCAGTTCAGGCGCAGGCATCGGCAAGGAGGCGGCTCTACAACGTAAATACGAGTTCGTATTTAGTTCGTACAACGTAAATACGAGCGTCGTCGCTTCTTAGCCATTTGAATAAAATAAAAGTATGGTAATTAAAAATAAAAAATAATGTAAAAAAAAAAACACAGAAACAATCGGCAGTCTGAAATAATCCCAATTCCAGGGCACATAAGCGGATACGACTTGAGATAAATGCTAGAAGTTTAGTATCCCATCAATCCCGAAGATAAACGTATGCGAATGCAAGTTTATTTCAGATTTGTTTTAGAAAAGTAAGAGCACCGATCGATGAACTAAAATTTAATTTTAATATGCGAGGACTGAGAAGACTATTGAATAATAAAAGAATTGGTACCAAGAGTACTAATACGCGCGGGAGAAGGGTCGAAAACATAATGGTAATATTTAGATAAGCGCGCATGAGTCGGCATGGTTTTGCTTAAAAGATGGGAGTCCAGCACGCATGATGTGAACGAACGCGATGTATCGATTAGAACATTCTGCTGTAGATATCGTCATGAAGTAAGACGAAAATGATACAATAAAGTACATGAGCGCGCATGGACATGAAACAGTTTTAGGTTAATCCTGGAGGCCAAGCATTGTTTAGCATGAATAAGTTGACTAATAAGAAGCGATAAATGTTTAAATATAACACCTGTGAAATAAGGCAAAATTCGAGGCGCATTATAGGCTAAATAGCAAGATGCACTAAAAGTTAACATTTCAGGCGCAGGCATCGGCAAGGAGGCGGCTCTTTGAGACAATCTTGACTACTCTAGGCTGCTGCGAAGTTATTGCGAAGAAAAGTCAAGATGAGATGCACTTGCGACACAGATACAACTGCGATACTTTCTAATTCACGAGATTCAATATCGAGAACATTGGGTGTGCAAGTCGGATTCACTGCAGCTAACTGATCGGATATCTGGANAGCAAAAATTAATTAAAGTTAGCCTCTGTACAATTAGGCAAAAATTAAGGCTATTATAGCAAAGAATAGAACAAGCTTACGTTTGGGGCAATAACAAATTCTAAATTCATTGAGCTAAGGCTATTATAGCAAAGAATAGAACGAGCTTACGTTTGGGGCAATAACAAATTCTAAATTCATTGAGCTACCGGTTTAAGCAAAACTTTTCACATGACTGCATGACGCGAATTGGTCTTAGTTCAAGGGCGCAAGATAAAGCTATATTGATTGCGTACTTCATCGGCCAAATAGATATTACGACTTCTGATTTCTTACAGATGGTTGCCGCATTCATAGATTGAGAGATAAATTCAAACTTGTTCAACTAATAGGAAACTGTGCGTGGCAACTGCATAAATTTATGGTATGAAATCTCAGCTAAAAAGCAAGAAGCACGAGAAGTTAAGGCGCAAGCATTGGCCAGGTGGCTCTATGAGACAATCTTCACTATTCTGGGCTACTGCAAAGTACAGACTTTGTGATGAGAAGTCGAGATGAAATGTCCACAGGAGGAGCGATGTGGGTTTGCCCGATTTCAATTGAGATTTGTAGACTCCAAACCTGCACGAGAAAAGATGATGAATACAGCGAATTGGAAAAATCATGTTGGATCATGTTGGAAAAATCGACATTAGCTCTTTGCAAAGGAATCGGGACCGTTAATGACGTGAAAGCATAAGTCTTTCTTAATCATTGAAATATTATCTTGCCACCTTCATCGGTAACGTTACACAAATCAAAGAGCTTCTTCTTTCATCGACGATCATCTCATCGAGACTTCAGTAAGATAGTGCTTCGAACCTGCGTTTCTATTATGTTGACGCAAAACTAGCTGAGACGCTTTTCTCGTATAATAAGAAGAGGAAAAAATAATTATTTACTATCAAAACTAACGTACTTCGATATATTGGTAATTTCATCAATACTAGGGAAACAAACAAATTAGATTAACGCTCATGTCTGGTAATATCTGTCCGCACGACTGTAAACTAACTGAAAAGCAGCAAAATTCTTCTAAAAATAAAAAATACGGTTTGTGACGCTATTTCTAAATGCAACTC